AAAGAGCTCACCTCAACCCCCTGCCATGGCTAGGGACACCTTCCATAGACCAGGGTGCTACAAGCTCCATCCAGCCTGGCCCTGACCTCACCTCCCCTGCTGTGGGTGCTCCCAGCTGCACAAACCCCCTGGGATCCCCACCACATCCCCCTGGGATCCCCACCACATCCCCCTGGGATCCCCACCACATCCCCCTGGGATCCCCACCACATCCCCCCACACCCAGGCTCCCTGACCCAGGTCCAGGCAATGCCCGTGGGCCGCTCCCTTCCCCCTCAGCTGGACCAGCCCCAGCCCATGGATGCTGGTGAGCACTGGGGTGTCCTCCTGAGCCCCCTCAGCTGGACCAGCCCCAGCCCAGGGATGCTGGTGAGCACTGGGGTGTCCTCCTGAGCCCCCTCAGCTGGACCAGCCCCTGCCCAGGGATGCTGGTGAGCACTGGGGTGTCCTCCTGAGCCCCCTCAGCCTCGCTGAGCTGAGTCAGTTTGGCTGGCTCAGAGCATCTGACCCAAAGGACGAGACGTGACTCCCCTTTAGCCATGACTGCAGCAGGAGGAGGAGGACAAAGCCACTTGCCAGAGCCTTCCTGCTGCTGCCCAGGGCTGGAATGAAGCCATAAGGAGGGCTCAGCAGCCCTCAGGCCCTAGTTCAGATGCATGTGCTGCTGCTCAGGACAGGTGAGAGGTGCTGGGATGTCTCTGTCAGGGCACAGTGGGGTGGGAGTGTGTGCCCGAGCGTGTGTGTGTGTGCACACCTGGCACATCTAAATCACAGCACCCACACACAGCTCACCCTTCCAACACCCCAAATGCACTCTGCCAGCTCTGCTCTCCCTCACAGCACCCCAACCCAGCCAGCCCCAGCCAGGGCTCTGGAAATTGTATGGAGGGAGCCTGACCAAAGTTGCTCTGGCTTCCTGGGGGATGTCTCTTGCTGGGAGATTGTGGACTCGCAGCCCAGGCCTCATTTCATGCACTGGCAGGCAAAAATAAGCAGCAGCTAAATCAGGAAAGCCCATTAGGGTGGAATTTAATCCCAGGAAGCATCACTGGCATGGTCTGCATTCAGCACTCAGCTTCTTAACAAGAGAAAGCATTTGCTGGAGCTGTTGTTTCTGCTCCAGGGGCAGTTCATGGGCCAGGGTCTTGGAGCAGCCATGGGATTCCAGCCCCTCGCTTCCCACAACCTCTGAGCAATGCCAGGGAGGAGTGGGGCTCCCCTTTGGGTCCAAGACTCTCACTTACAGAATTCTCCCAGTTTGTGCACACCAGCAGAGGTGTTTATCTGGGAGCTGGACAGGTCCTGGCTCCATCTGCAGCTGCAGGGAGTTGGGGACCCGTGTTTGTCACCCAGCTCCATGGCTGAGTCCGGGCTCAGAGCCAGACCCAGGGGTTTTTTTGTTGTTTTTTTTTTCCCAGGGTTCTCCACAGCATTTCCTGTCAAACCCACCCCAAGGTCAGTGAGAGCCCTGTGTGTCACAGGCTTCCCAGAAATGCTCTTCCTGCCTGCCAGCACAGGGGCTGGTGTGCCATCACCCCGCCATGGCTGGGGACTGTGCCACTGCCCTCGTGAGCAGCGGGGCACGGGGCACCTGTGCCAGTGCTGCCTCACAAACACAGCAGCTCCATCACGGCACCAAATGGCCACTGCTGAGGGCAGGAATGGAGCTGCCACTCGGCCCAGGAAAGCTCGTGGGAGCACAGCCAAGAGCTCACCTCAGAGGGTGGGGAGGCCCTAGCACACAGAAGCTGCGGCTGCCCCATCCCTGGAAATGTCCAAGGCCAGGTTGAACAGGGCTTGGAGCAACCTGGTCTGGTGGAAAGTGTGCCTGTCCCTTGGAACTGGATGAGTTTTCAGGTCCCTTCCAAGCCAAGTCATTCTATGACCCTGATTTCCCCCTTCCTCACTGCATTTTCAAGGCACGGCCCCATTCAGGTGTCATCTTAAGCACAGGCCTCCCAAAAATCAGCTGTGGCCAAGCAGCAGCTGGTGGCCCTTGGCAACCTACCCCAGGCTCTTGCTGTTCTCTTCCAGAAGAGTGCAGGGTGAGGAAATAAAAAGCTTCCCTCCAGCTGCCATGGCAGGACAGACCCCCGTGTCCCACTTGTGTTCAGGGCTGTTTGGCTGCTCATGCAGGTGTGAAAGCCCTGTCCTGACAGCTCTGACAGCAGTGCTTAGGGGACAAACAAGTTTCACTCCCAAACACAAAACAGCTCCACACCACAGCAGTGCTGGCCCAGCAGATCCATTTCCAGCCTGGCATTAACCTACCCTGCCTGTTAATTGCGATGAAGATCCTACCTCGAGTACGAGAGCATCCAGTGAGGGGTTCCTGGGCTGTGCACCCCATCACAAGTTCTTCCCTCAACACCAGCCTGCTGCATCTTGCTGTGTTGCATATCTGGCAGCTGTGTCCTGTCTGTCTGTCCTGGGATAAATGTCACCAAGGCACAGGCCACAGCAGTCACTGTTGTCATTCCTTGCTCGTCCATCCGCCCCTCACCTGCCTCTCCTTCCCGCAGGGACCGGATCGCTCGGATCGGTCTGGGCGTAATCCTGAACTTAGCCAAGGAGCGGGACGTTCCCCAGCTGGCCCAGAGCATCTCTGGGATCCTGGAGCACATGTTCAAACACACGGAGGAGACCTGCTTCCAGCTCATCTCCGACGGAGGCCTGGACACCATCCTGTACTGGTGCCGCTGGACGGACCCCGCCGTGCTGCGCCACTGCGCCATGGCCTTGGCCAACTGCGCCATGTACGGGGGCCAGGCCAACCAGCGCCTGATGATCGAGAAGAAGGCGGCAGAGTGGCTTTTCCCGCTGGCCTTCTCCAAAGACGACGAGCTGATCCGGCTGCACGCCTGCCTGGCCATCACGGTGCTGGCCACCAACAAGGAAATCGAGAAGGAGGTGGAGCGCTCGGGGACGCTGGCTCTGGTGGAGCCCTTCATCGCCTCGCTGGACCCCGAGCAGTTCGCCCGGGAGATGCTGGGCAGCAGTGACAACATCCAGGGCCGGACGGCGCAGGACCTGCAGCGCCTCGTGCCCCTGCTGGACAGCTCCCGGCTGGAAGCCCAGTGCATCGCCGCCTTCTACCTCTGCACCGAGGCCGCCATCAAGGCCAGGCAGAAGAAAACACAGGTAAAGGGTAGGTTGGCCTGGAGGAAGGTGATGACAAAGGGAAGGGCTGCCACAGCTGCATCTTGGTGTCTTTTGCTCACCAAACACCTTGGTCCTCGCCTGGCCCGGCACAGCTTGCTGGGAAGAGGATGAGGGGAGGCAAAGTGACGTCTCCTCCCTTCGTGTCCCCAGATTTTCAGTGAGATCGGGGCTACACAGAGCCTGAAGAGGATTGTGTGCTACTCCACCAGCAGCACCACCTCCTCCCTGGCCAAAAAGGTGCTGCGCATGATAGGGGAGGAGGTTCCTCGGCGCATCCTGCCCACAGTTCCCAACTGGAAATCCTGTGAGGTGCAGACGTGGCTGCAGCAGATCGGATTCGACAAATATTGCCAAATATTCCTGGTAGGGTTTTGTGCTGGGGGAGGGATGCACGGATGGACACTTCTGCCCCATCTCACGCCAGAGGTGCAAGCATCTCACCCAGCTTTTCCTGGGACCTTTCCAGCCTGGGTTTCTCTTGACAGGATCACCAGGTGGACGGGGACATTCTCCTGAGGCTGACGGAGCAGGAGCTGCAGAAGGATTTGGGGATGGACTCCAGCATCACTCGGAAAAGGTAGGACCACCACCAGGGCACACGGGACTCCCTCAGGGCCATCACCACAGTGGCAGAGGCAGGGACAAGGTCTCTGTCTTTCTCTTCTTGCTAAAACAGGAATGGAGATCCTCCAAATGCAAAACCTGGACTGCCAGGGCTTTTCCACTGCACTTTTTGCAGTCCCAGAGGGATTTCTGTAATGGGACCACTGCATGGCAGAGGTGTGGGTGGGGGGAAGAGCACCAATGGCACAGGGCAGGTGGGATGGTGCTAATTACCCAGAAAGATGGGAACTTACCCTTAGCTGAGCTCCTCACACCTCAGTGTCCCGAGGACCAGCACTCCCATGCAGCTGTTCCTCTGTTCCTGGAGCTCATCCTTCACCCCGGCACGGAGCTGCACTCCCCCCTGAGCAGGTAAAAGATGTGGTACCACACATCTCCAAGTGCTGCCTGCCGCTCCGTTTGTTCCTCCACCAGGTTTTTCCGGGAGCTGACGGAGCTCAAGACCTTTGCCAACTACTCCACCTGCGACCGCAGCAACCTGGCCGACTGGCTGGGGGGCATCGACCCCAAATTCCGGCAGTACACCTACAACCTGCTCACCTGCGGCATTGACCGCAACTTCCTGCACCGGGTGACGGAGCAGCAGCTGCAGGAGGACTGTCACATCCACACCGGCTTCCACCGCGTCCGCATCCTCACTGCGGCCCGGGGTGCGGCTCCCGGCGGGAGGGAAAGGCGTTGAGGGGTGTTTGGGATGAGCTGCTGGCTGGTTTTTAACTTCTGGTGGTTGTTTTGCGCTGCTCAGAAACGCTTCACTCCCCCATCACGCTGCAAACCACGTCCAACGGGACCGATGTGTTCATCAGCTACCGGAGGAGCACCGGCTCGCAGCTGGCCAGGTGAGTCCTGCAGGAAACTGTGGAGCCCAGAGGGAGGGTGGGTGGTCAGCTGTGGGAAAAATGTGGAATGTGGAGGAGGGAGAGGATGCCAAAACTGCGGAGCAAATGGGGACAGCACACGTGATAACCTGCACAATGGACAGGCCGATCCCCAGTCCTGTCACCGCCGCTGTGGCACTGTCTGACCCTTTCCTCATGCTCCTGGGGCTGTAGGGGATCACAGCAGGGAGTCAACATCAGCTCCTCCTGTTCCCTGCACATGTCCACACGGCTGGGCTGGAGCTGGCATCTCCTTCCCTGCTCCTCTGTCTCACCGTGTCTCAGCCAGCGTGGTGAGACAGCAAATGAAGCCTCTCCTCACCGTCCCCTCTCCTGCAGCCTGCTGAAGGTCCACCTGCAGCTCCACGGCTTCAGCGTGTTCATCGACGTGGAGAAGCTGGAGGCAGGGAAGTTTGAAGACAAGCTGATCCAGAGCGTCCTGAGCGCCCGGAATTTTGTGCTGGTCCTCTCAGCAAACGCGCTGGATAAATGCATGGAGGACCCCGAGTGCAAGGACTGGGTACACAAGGTAAGAGATGCCCCCAGCTGGGAGCTGTGTGGATGTTGGGCTGGGAGGCAGTTGGTGAGGGGCTGGTACAGGCTATGAGCACCTGCACGTTCTGTTCCTGCAGGAGATTGTGACAGCCCTGAACTCTGGAAAGAACATTGTGCCTGTTACAGACCATTTTGAGTGGCCAGATCCAGAAACACTTCCCAAGGACATGAGGGCTGTGCTGAAATTTAATGGTATCATGTAAGTAAGAGCCACCTGTGCCATGGGGTGCACCTGTGGAGAACAACTTGCATAAGGAGTAGAAAAGAGCCCAAGGACTTTGGGACAAACAGATGAGGGAGGCAGAACAGGTCAAAGGGACACTGAGTCACCGCAGATGCTCCAGAGCATGCAGGGAGCAAAGGTTCCCACCCACATCCCTGCTGCTGCTGCTGCTGTGCTGGGACTCCTCTGGGTGACAGAGGGGTCTCTGCTGGGAGGACACCCATCCTCAGGCACATTTCACCTGGGTTTCTTTCCCCCCCTGCTTTCCCTTTGTGCATCCCTGCCTTGCAGAGCATTCTGCAGCGTCCACAGGGAGAAGGGAGCTCCTGGAGAGCTGGGCTGGAGGAAAGGGTTCTCTGGCTCCTGGCCCAAATGAACTGAGCTATCTTGTGGCAACCCACACACGAGAGGAAAAGCAAACATTGCATTTTTCCCCTCGAACACAGGTGGTCCCACGAGTACCAGGAGGCCACGATTGACAAAATCATCCGCTTTCTCCACGGCCGCTCCTCCCGGGACTCCTCGGCTGGCTCGGAGAACGGGCTGGACTGTTTGCACCCCCTGGGGCAGAGCTAGAACCAGGACAGCAGTCTCAGACACTCCCAGGTGACCCCTTGTTGTGTGGGTCCAAATTAATCCCTCCTGACTTTTTCTTTGAGAGAAAACCTGTGTCTCTCACTCCCTTCTCACCCTCCAAGAACAAGCCCCTGGCCCCCAAAGGCCAGCACTCACTCCCACAGCGCCCGAGGAGCCAAGCCAGGCTGGACTCTGAGATGGAATATGTGTCTTCCACGTCCCCCTGTGGGGTGGCAGGACATGCATGGGCTGTGAGGGAGACTGGCACCATCCAGACCCCCAAAAGCTTCCCCCAGAAGCACCTCCAAAGAGGAGAGATCTTCCAAGGGCTGAAAACTGGAGAAGTGTTGAGAATCCATCGTAAGAGGACACAGGGGAGTGAAGAACAATTGAGAGGAATGTGTGGCTGTGCTGTGTGCCCCAGGAATACTCCTGTGGTCAGAAACCCAGAGCAGGAAAGGGCAAATAAAAACTAAGCCCTAACAAAATCTTTGTGTTTGGGAGATCTCTGCAAAAAGGGCTTTTAAAATACCCTCCTTCCCTCCATCTGAAGTCTCAGCTTCACCACTTTATCAGGTCTGTATTTTCAGGGCACTGGAGGCTGGATTGTAACCCTGGAAAACTTGAAATCCTTGCAGGGAAGATGCTAATTGCTGTGCTTGTGGAGTTATTGTACACTGTGGCTATATTTTATCCTGCTCCACGGATCTCCCGTGGTCTGTGCCTTCAGCAGGAGCTGCTGAATCTCTCTGCTGACCACCACACCCCCACAGCCCTGGCTGAGCTCCCTGGGCTTGTCCCTACTCACTGCTGGATGCAATTCCAAACTTGTTTCTTCCTGTCCGCCTCTTCCCAACACCCACCCAGGCTTTTTGCGGCTCCTCACCTTAAAATATCAAGAAAAAGTGGAGCTGATGCCAAGAGCTGGCAGAGGATGGTCCAGCTGGGAGTGGGACCATCAGTGCCTGCTGCCAGCACTGCTGGTGAGGAACCATGGGCATCCTGACACAAACCCTGCATTTCACACTCCAGGCTGCTGAACCACCTTGCAGAAGCCCCAGGCTCCTTTTCCTACCCCTGCTCGAGAAGAACTCAAGCCTTTCAGGAGGTAACAAGGAGTCTCAGCCACCCTGTTCTCCTCCTGGCTCTCCCTGAAGCCCTGCTTTAACTGTCAGGAACACAAACACTTTTTTCTTTTGGCTTGGATCCACGAAAATTTCAGGGGAAAAAAAAAAAAAAAGTTAATTCTGGTGCTTTATGGATAGTTTTTATCAGCTCACAGTTAATGGCATCTTTGCTCTCCAGTGAAAGGTTAATAGCCATATCTGCCCAGCACTCATCAGAATTAGAATCCATCTAATCTCCAGATTAAATAACAAGAAGCCAGCAGATGAGCCCAAAGGTGAATCTGCCAAAGGATAAAAGCCTCTTGCGAGTTGCTTCAGGGAAAAGCCTTCAGTAACTGAATGTCAAGGCCTCCATGGCCACTGAAGGGGTTCCACACAAACAGTCCTAAGGATTTATCTCCCTGCAATAATCCCTGGTGGGATGATTGTGTCCTGTTTCCCAGGAGCTCTGTAGCAATCAGCCTCCTCACCCAGCACTCTGTGTGGAGATTTCCTTGTTCTCCACAGCTCAGGTGTCTCACCTGAAACCAGATCCCATCTCCTGCTCCAGCTGCCCAGACTGTGACTCCTCCCGTTTCCCCATCATCATCTTCACCTTAATGAACTTGCCCTGCTTCTGGCTAAACATCCTACACCCATCCCCTTCCAGCTGGAGCAGTCCCAAGGAAATTAATTCCTCTGCCCTCATCCTTCCTCATTCCTTTGCTCTGCCATGTCAAAAGTGTTTGCAGTTATTCAATCAGGCATTATTAATAAATCTGTTTTTCACTTTCAATCCCCACCTCTTTGTCTGTATCACATGCTTCTCTCCCTGCAGGCTGTCCACCCTTGTTTTCCCTTGCCACCATGAAGCAGAGCTGACATCCCCAAACACTGTTCCCTGGAGGAACCTTTGCATGGACTGATGCTCTGCACCCCCAGGGACCCTGCTTGCTGCCACCAGCCGTGCCTCCACTGGTGCAACTCTTGAAGGACGGCCTAGAAAAACTTTGGTTTAATTTTTTTTTAATAAGGCACAATAGCTGCCACTGAATCTCTCCCCACGCAGAGCCAGGTTCCGCCTCACCGCACAACACTGAGCACCTGCTTGAACTGGCACCCACAGAGTGGACTTTACTTCACAATCACCTCAGCCACAAACACCTACTGCAACGCTCACAGCATGCCCTGTTCCTCGGGGAGGCCAATTCCAGGCTTAGCCCAGCAACCAGAGCCGTAACTCCCGTGTTCCCTGGCGTAACTGCTCGCAGCAAGTGGCCTAACACCAAGTTCTTAAAGCCTCCCTGCTTCTCTGCTCCCCAGATCCTCCTGCTTCTACCACAAACTCCCAATGGACAGAGCTGGGTGCAAGCATTTCGCATTTTCTGCATACTGAAGGACAGGTTTCAGACAAAGCTCTCCTGCGAGCTTTACTCTGGTGGTCAGGAAAAGCAAGTTTTGGCTGCTTGCAAGTCCAAACCTGCATTTTTCCTGACTTTTCACTCTCACACACTCATTCTCCGTGAGACATATAAATTCCTGCTGCTCCTTTTTTACTGCAGTCTTCAATAAAGGATTGAGAACGAAAATAATCGAGAGAAGACCCAAACGAGTCAAACAATATCAACAGCTGCACAAGATATCCAGAGTTTTATGAACCATAAAAGAGGTTTTATTCATTCTGAAAGTAACAGTAAAGTCATTACTGCATGTACCTGAACAGCATGTGCAATGTACACAGAGCTGCTGGTTTATGGCACAATGAAGAAAAAACAAGATTGCAGCAACACAGGTAATGATTTGGAAAGAAATATTATAAGCACCGTGGACACAGGGTTTGCTTGCTGGCATCAACAGATCCCAGGACAGGCAGCAGAACTGAGATCATTAACACAGGGTTATGCCACATACAGCAAAAATGATTTATCTTAAAGCCACTGTCCTGTCCCCACACCAGCTCGCTGAGGAAGGCCTCTGGATAAGCACAGCAGTGATTTCATGTGACTGGGGCACACCTATCAAACTGGGGCTCAGTTTTGTGGTATAAGGGGGGAACAATTCTGACAATTTTCTCCTTAACTTCATCGTTTTTGGCAACTGTCAATTAAGGCACCTACAGGAGTTGCTTCAAGGATCCTCGTGTTCCTCCCAACCCAGGATTTATTCTGCTGGCACTGCAGTATTCTCAGATGATCTGTTACTTGTCAAAACCACCTCTGAGATGCTGGGCTGAGCTGCAGACAGGCAGGACATACCACTGGCACTGCTACCAACACTTCATGAATTAAATCCCCTTCTTAGGACACCTCTGACTTGCAAAACTAAAGCTGGTTCACTCAGTAAGGACAGCAATAGCACTCCTGTGCTAAGCTACCTCTCTCCATAAGGATTTCTGTGGTCTGGCACGTCACTTTGGATGGGGTTTAACTGGCAATGTGAAGATCTGGAGCACAGATCTTCCCCCTCCAAGCAGGACACTGTTGGGTGCCTCTGTTTCAGTCTGTACCTCACCCACACCAACTCATCAGCTGCAGTCCTCTGAGGGGAAAATGCAATTAAACCAGAACTCAGTCCTCCCTCCCCACTAAAAGCATGGCAGAGCCTTCTGGCCCCACCAAATCCCAAACCACAAACCAGCCTTGCAAAAAGCCCACAACGGCTTGATCGACTTTTGGGTCTCTTGGGTTTTCTCCCACAGATGAGTCAACACAGTGTTGAGGGGGAATTCACAGCTCCAAATCAAACTCCTCCTGTATTTCCAACTATTTAGCATTTAAAAGTTAGTAAAGACAAGCAGGGTGTCCCTCCCACACTGATCTGTCCTTCGAGGGAGGGCTGAGGTGCAGGTGGACACTGCCGTGCTGGCCAATTCCTTAAATTCAGTCTTTTGCAGGGGACAGAGAAGCATCTTGGAAGTGGTTGTAGTCGTGTTTTGAATCCCAGATTTGTATCCACCTAGAAAAGAATTAACAGTTTCAGCTTTCAAAGGCACATTGGGGATGTTGCTGAATGGAGTGAGCCTAAAAAGTTTCAGAGGAACAAAACAAAATGACCCTGCCAAGAGCTGCTGCTCTTGTGCAAATCCCAACACATTCCCTCTCCCAGAACCTACCAGGGGATTTGTTTTCTATCACAACAAAACTTCTGCTTTAATTACTAGAAAAATTACAGGGAGAGAGACTGCTGAGAACTTGCAAAATCAGTTCCTGATTTTGGATTCCATCGAGGCTGGAGTGAGGCTTTGAAGCACTTTGAATATTGGTAGCTATATTACTCAGGCTGCAGGTTTATCCCTAGGATTCAGATTCCAAAGGAAATGACCTGCACCTCTTTTTACCAGAGCACCAGACACCCTCTCACAACCATAACTGAAAATATGCCTTAAAAACTGCCAGCTTCTATCCTAAGAGTAAATGCTATTTTCCATATGACACTGCATGGCAAAGTTTAGACATTTGAAGTAAATTACCCAAGGATAGCTGCTGGAATAAGGAGGATTATAGCCCCAAAGAGAAATGGGAATCCCCTCATGAAGTGCAAGGTGGCAGGGTAGAGAGAGTTGAACACTCCTGTAGCCACGAGTGAACACAGCCCTTCCACACAGGCAACAGAAGCAAAGAGAGCACCTGGAAAAGAGAGATAAGAGGTTAATGGTGAGATAGGCTGCTGGTTATTGCCTATAAACACCAGTAACACATCACCCTCAGTGGGTTCTGCCAGTCTTTCCAAGGGTTTGCCATCAGAGAGGTGTGTGAATACCAAGTGTGGTAAGGTGGGGCAGGACTGGCCTGGCACGTCCAGCCTGTGGCCAGGACAACCTCCCCAAGCTGCAGGATTTGTATCAGGAGATGACCAGGCTATTTTCCACCAGCTGGACTGTAAATGCTCCAGTCCAGGGCTCTATAGATCTGTTTATTGCCTCTTATCACTTGTTAAACATTAAGTACAGCAGCAGATTTAGCACCATAAATCCGCCGTACGTGCCATCGCCATTCTAAAATAAGAAACATGAATTGTGCAAAATCACCTCTCAGTTGTTGCCACCTGGACTCCCTCCTCCCCCTGCCTGCCTCAGAGACATTCCTGGGCTGAGTTCCACAGCAAGTGCAAACCCTCCAAGCACATAACTGCACAAAAGGCAGATCTGCTCCTCCTACGGGTTATCCATGATCTTTCACTGTGGTCAATGATACAACCCTCCAACAGCACCTGGTTCTTCCCACTGTTACTGATCTACAGAGCAAAGTCATGGTCAGGAGAATGACTCTTTTCTCCTCATTATATATTCCATTTTAATTCTTGCTGCTTGTAAATGTTTTGGACATAAATGTATGGATGAATGAACTATTCCTGCTTTTCTTCCCTTGTTCTCATCTCGGAAA